TGAGCTCACATGGCATAGCCTCCCCCACATAGCTTCGCGTGCATAACATAGCTTACACCGCAAATGTTGCACTACACAGCTTGCATAACATAGCTCACACCACATAGTTCCACCTCCGTTCACGGCCTAGCTTACATTGAATGAAGTTTGGTTTCGAAAGACAAATGTACTCCACCACCATCTCCCCCCGCTGGGTTATCCGTCCCCCCTGGGACACAGGGGCGGGGGGCCCGTCTGGGGCCTTTTCGGAGCAGTCTTAGGCTGTGTCGGGAGTATCGTGGAGATCTCCTGGGCCGCCTGGACAGCATCTTGAATGATCCTGGAGCGCTCTTGGGCCTTCTGGGAGGCCCAGAGTTGTCCGGGATAGTCGGACCAGTGACCAGAGTGGATGGGGGGCCACCCGTGTACAAGAGGGACAGCGGCCCTGGGCTCCAGGGCCGGGATCTCCCATAAATGCACAACCGCCACCGTGCCCGCGCGGAGTGGGCGTGTTAGAATGTTTTCTGCGACCGACCTCTTCCCCGATTCGCACGCGGGGTTTACGAATCGCCCTCCCTGAAATTACTCCCCAGAGCTCGTTCCGGCCTCCAGACGGCCACAGATGGCCTCCAGGACGGCTTCCAGGACTGCGAAGACGGCAACAGAACGGCTCGAGATGGAGACCCCGACTGGAAAGCAGAAGCAAGGTGTGGTGATACAGTCGGGGCCCTGAAGAAGGAACCCTTTTCGTTGGGGAGGGGCTCCGTGTTCCTTAATTGTTTCGCAGCTTGCCCTGGATTTTCCATTGGTTTTCGATACGAAGTCGAAGTTCAACTTGTGGAAAATATGGGCCTCGTTCCTTATTTAGGGTTCCTTAGGTCAAGGCCCCGACTGTAAGAGCGAGGCTCGCCCTTCCTGTGCCCCCGTGAAAACACGGGCACAGGACGGGCACCGGCCCTCCACGCGCCGTGGCAGGCGCGCGGCGGCGCCCTGCTGCGAGGAGGCGCCGCCCCGGGGCTCCCGCCTCGGCGGCCCGGTGCCAGGCTTATGGCACACCTTGCCAGGTGCTCGCGCAGGGCGCGGAGGAGGAGGAGGAGGAGGAGGAGGAGGAGGCAGAGGCGGAGAAGGAGGAGGCGGAGGCGGAGGCGGAGGAGGAGGAGGAGGAGGAGGAGGAGGGGGAGGGGGAGGGGGAGAGGATGGCGGAGGTCAGCGCCGGCTCGCTGGCGGTGGGCAGCAAGGGCGCGCCTGGAGGTATTCCTGGAGAGAGGCCCATGGGGAGAGCAGGCGTGCGGAGGGCCTGTTGGGCTTCGCTGCGGGCGGGCCGTGCTCTCTTTGGAACCTGTCGGGAAGGGGACTGGGGACTGCCCCGGGATGTCACGCATCGCGGGAGCGAGGCTGGAGGCTCGCCGCTGCAGCGCCGTGATGCTGTGGTACAGTCGAGGCGTTGACCTAAGGAAACCTAAATAAGGAACGAGGCCCCTTTTTTCGTAAGTTAAACTTCGACTTCCCATCGAAAACTGAAGGGAAACCTTAGGCAAGGTGTGGAACAATTAAGGAACATCGAGCCCCTCCCCAACGAAAACTGGCCTTCTTCAGCGCCCCGACTGTAAGCGCGGCTTTGCGACCCTGGTGAGGCTGCGGCCCGGCAGTAGCGAGGCGCGTTGCGTGAGGGCGCGCCTCCGATCTGCAAGCGGCTCTCTGGCATCGCTTAGGGCGCCTACACCCTGGCGGGTGGCACTGGGGCCCGTCGTCACCCTTCCCTGGCGGGGCGGGTTATCTTCGGGGATGGACAGACCTCCCTTTCGTAAAACGTGGTTTCGTGAAAACGACTTCGGGCCAAAACCTGGGCGGCGCAAGCATGGAAAATAACGGCCGCGCCGCCCTCTCGAGCACCGAAAACGGACAATTCACTAGTCGACGTGTCAGGGTAGCAGGTCTATCCACCTCCGAGGTCTGCCTGGCGGCAGGAAGCACCGCGTTTTTGGGGGCTGGGTGCGCGATGGCACTGTGGCCAGCCCTGCGGCTTGGCGGAGCTGGCCCTTGAGAGCGCCGTCCGCGACCCCTCGCCCACCAATTGGCAGATCCTCCCCCGGGCGGTTGGCGTTGCTGCCGCGGCTTTAGGCCCTGGGGTGTGGCTGACTGTGCCGGGGGAGCCTCGAGGGGCTACAACCGGGGCGTTGCCCTAAGGAACCCTAAATAAGGAACGAGGCCCCTTTTTTCCCCATAAGCTAAACGTCGATTATCCATGGGAAACCTCAGGAAAACCTGAGGCAAACAGTTAAACAATCAAGGAACACCGAGCCCCTCCCCAACGAGAAGGGTTCCTTCTTCAGCGCCCCGACTGTGTGCTGCCGCCGGCGTGGTCCGCCCCTGTGTTGTCCTGCGTGGGTCGCAGTGGGGTGCTCGAGGCGTGGTCCTGGTGGGCCTTTCCCTTCTGGGTTACGTGCGCCTGCTTGGACGTGGAGGTGGGGCATCGTCGTCCGCGTCGTGTCCGTCACTGGCGTGGCTTTCGGGTGGGTGAGGAGTGTCACCCTCGTGATTGTCGAGGACCACCCTAGGTCGACGGGGTCTTCCTCGTCGCCTTCGAGGTTGCTGGGAGGGATGTCCCATGGATCGCCAAGTTCATTGTAGTACCCTGGCCCTGGTGGGCCTTGGGAGTGGGGCAGGTCACTGGGCGGACCTGGCGGCCGGTCCCCGCCGCCCTCCGTAGTGAGCCGGTTTGCGTTTCATCCCGCGGAGTTCCGACCTGGAGCATCCAGCCCGCCTGACGGGGAGCGGGAGAGCGCGGTGGCGACGGCCATACAACGCGACCGCAGCGCTGTGGAGGACAGCTGCAGATTTGTGTCGCCACTCGGCTGTGTCGACGACATCCATGCGAGGCCACTTTGTATACACCACCACCGCCCGCAACATCTTATATTATTCTCGATCTTGGTGGTGGTAGTCAGATCAGTGGTTTGGGATGCGTGCGGGCTCCCGCTGCTGCCAGCTCGTCACCGTGACGGTGAAAGGCCTCGGCGGTCGGTGGGATCCGGCCTCCATGGGCCCCATGGCTCTCCGAGGTGGCCTTCGGCTTTTTGGGACCTTGAACATCTCGGGCTATAGGCCTGGGCCGCCCGATGGACTCGGAGGTCGGCCTGCTGGCCCTCGGCCTGCGGGGGGACTGTCTGCGAGGAGAGCTTCGAAGCCGTCGACGACGGCCTGACTGTCAACCAAGATGCAGACGGGCCTCTCAGCCTCCTCCTCCTTTTCCTCCTCCTCCTCCTCCTCCTCCTCCTCCTCCTCTTCCTCTTCCTCCTCCTCCTCCTCCTCCTCCTCCTCCTCCTCCTCCTCCTCTTCCTCCTCGTCTTCCTCCTCTTCCTCCTCCTCCTCCTCCTCCTCCTCCTCCTCCTCTTCCTCCTCTTCCGCCCTCATCCTCCTCCTCAGCGCGTTGTGCTGACTGCGCGAGGGCCGTGCACTCGGGCCGAGTGGCTTGACCAGTGCTCTGGTCCCTGGTGCACACCGAACCCCGCCCTGGCGAGCAGGCGATGGGGCTGGTGCGAACACGCCCCGTCGTTGCCTGCGAAGGCCCGCCTGACTCCCGTGGTGGGGTCGGCGTCTTCCTCGGAGTGGTCCTCCTCCTCCTGGCTTTCCAGTGGCGGTCAGGGGATGGGCTGCTGGAGTTCGTCTCGGGCGAGGTTGGCCTGCAGGTTGAAGACTTTCGCACCTTCTTCCAGGAGGCCACGGTGTCGTGCCATGATGGCCAAGGCCGTTCGTTCGTCGGCCCAGCACGAGCATCTCCAGACGGTATGCTGCCGTGTCTTCTCTCCTCGGCTGCGCCAGCGGCACGAGCGGGATGGGTCTCCAGAGTTTCCCGCACGCACTTTCCTCTGCTGGGCGCGATCCCCACCGCAGTGGCAGTAACACAGGAGGCCGAGTCGTCATGCGGTGCATGTGGCTTTGCCCGTGTGGCTCTCTGGACCCAGGTGACCGGCAAAGTAATCGAGGCCTACTTTGACGGACGCCGCCGCCCCGAGGTCATGTCTGGTGGTGGGGACTTGTCGGAGAAGGACCGTCTCTGTGATTATCTGAGCATGTGCGTAAACATCCTGGTCGGGAGGTTCAGCCGTGATGGTTGCGCGGCCCAATCGTCGCACATCGTGCCAGAGGCCAGCCAGATCCACTCCAGCTGGGCGATGCTTTGCAAGGCTCCGCCTATGGGGCCGCCACCTTGCCAGGCTTGCGCGCGGTCGCGGACCGCTTGGGCTGTGGCGTTGAGGCGGGCGTCTCGCGGCACATCCTCGCGGAGTCCAACAAAGGGCCTCACGCCGCGCGATGGCTCCGAGCTCCGGGGCATGGCCTGGGACGATGAGGGCGTACGGGGCCCGCTGGGATCTCCATGGTCGTCCCGTGGGGCGGATGGCGGCGACCATCGTGCTCTTGAACTGGCCATCGCTCGGACGTCCACTCCCTGTGCTTCTTTTTGATTTCGTGCGTGGACTTTCCGCCAAATGATCAAGGATGCTCCTCAATGGTCCTCGCCGAAGGAAAACTGCACACGTCCGAGCGACGCCAAGGGAAGAGGTCACGTGCTTGCGCGCCGGGCGCTCGGCCGTCCGTGCCGGTGGTGCACCCGCCTGCCACCAGGGACTTTTGCGGGCGGGCTCTCGCGTAGGTACCTGCGGGAAGCCGCCCGATGAGGGGGGAGTGTAGTGTGGCCACGGCGCGGTGTATACATAAAATGATAGAGAGATAAAGAGACAAATAAAGAAAAACAGAAAAACAACATTAAAGAGAGAGAGAGAGAAAGAGAGATAACGACATAAAGAAAGAAAGATATATAATGAGAGAGAGAGAGAGAGAGAGCGAGACAAAAAAGACAGCGAGAGCAAGAGCAAGAGAAAGAGAGAGAGAGAGAGAGCGCACCCAAGAATATGGCTGTGCCGCGTGTTTCTCTTACCTTAACACATGTGCATGTGCATATGTATATCTATAAAGAGAAAGAGGAAGAGAGTCTGCCGACTGCGGAGCCCGAGTCGGGCCTTCGGTTCCTTCTTCGGCTCGATCCTGTTCTTCTGATCCGCAGAGGTCGCGAAGCGGAACTTCATCAAGCCATTGCGCGCACGGTACAGCGCAGGATTCTGCTCCGATGACCTCCAGAGCTTTGCAGGGGTGGGGGCACTGGATCTATAACGAACTCGCACACGCACCGCTCCAGAGCATCGGCCAAAGAGGTCAGGGATAGCTCGAAGGGGGGAAGAATCGGAGAGCAGGACAAAGAAGGCAAACATCCCCTGACCGTGACTCCCTGACCGTGACTCTCCCTGGGCTGCCCCCCACGGGCAACGTGTGTTAGGGGAGAAGGGGGGAGCTATGGCACGGTAGGAGCAGGGTGGGAGACGGCACCACAAAGCACCGCCGCGTGACCACACGGGAAGGCATGAAACAGCATTGACCACATCACGCAGCGAAACATACAACATAGATCATGGCACCCACGTAATGCCCACGGCAGGCACCATCTCCGCGCAACAGAATCAATGTTGGCGAGCACGATATCACATGGCGTGGCAAAGCACCACCCTAGAGAAATCAAAACACGTTTGGCTGGCCCACCCACCCGCCCACCGACCAACTCACCCACCCACACTCACATACACACACACACAACGCACACACACACACACAAAAAAAAAAACACACACACACACTCAAATACACACACACACACATCACACTGCACCACATAACGGCACAGCACTACCATAGTTCCGATAGACCATGTTTTGATGTTGCTCGTGGCAAGAGCCTGGGTGAAAGCTAACCCCGTTGTTCCCGCACTCGCTGGCCAAAGGACCTGCTGCTGGCCTTAAGGGGCCCCCCAAGTAGGTCCCGGCTGGCGTGAAGAGTCCCCCCGAGTAGCCCAGGGCGGTCTCAACACCACAACCCTGGGTCGCGGGAGATGTTGAGACTGCCACGGGCTACCCCGTGGGCCTGTTCAGGCCCGCTGAGACCACTCGGAGGGCGGCCAGCTGGGACTGCCTGGGGGCGCTGTCTGAACGCAACCGGAAGCCTTACGAACCCCTCCCGCCCAGGGGCCGGATTCGATGAGCGGTCGTCCAACGACTGGGCCGAAAGACAGGCTGGGAGAGCTACCGGGCATACCCAAATCTGCTCGAAGCTCCAAGAGCGCTCGCCCCGAGCGCTGCGCACGGCACTCGCGCCGTGGCGGGTCCTCTTTGTGGGCCCAGGGGGCCTGGGGATCATTGTGTAATTGCCGCGATTGCCCAGGTTATTCGAAGTAGGGGTGGGCTATTCGAAGGAGGGGTGGGCTGGGCGATGACTACCGCAGCACCCCGCAATTGCGGATAAAAGCGAGGGGCCGGCGGGGACGTCGGCAGTCTGCCAAGCTCTGAAGAACTCCGCCGCAAGCACCAAATTCTCACAGATTGTACAGCGAGCCCGCCGCAAACGCCGATTGCTTAATTTTAACGGGCGAAGAACGGTAGAGCATAAACTTGTTCGCCGTCGGGAACACCTGTCCCAGGGCGGCTGGAACGTTTATACCCTTACGGTGCCACCGTAAGGGTATAAACTTTCCAGCCGTCCAGGGGCAGGCGCCCCCGACAGCGAAAGAAAATATGTTATACCGTTCTTCGCCCGTTAATAATTTAAGCAATGTCGGTGGGTCGCGGAGTGGGTCGCACATGGGTCGCGGGCCAGGTTGCGGGCGGGTCGCAGGCAAGTCGCGGGTGGGTCGCGGGTGGATCGCGGGCGGATCGCGGGCGGATCGCGGATCGCGGGGCGGGCCGCGGGCGGGTTTACGGGTGGGTCGCGGGTGGGTCGCGGGCGGATCGCGGGCGGACCGCGGATCGCGGAGTGGGCCGCGGGTGGGTTGACGGGTGGGTCGCCGGTGGGCCCCGTCCTTCCAAAACTTTCACCACCGACGCGAAGACATCGTCATCGTTATCGGCGGGCGTGGTCTGCATCGGCGACATCGTTGGCCATGCCGTCGTCATCGCCGCCATCGTCACCATCATCGCTACTCGCATTTTCGCCTCTACCGCTGCCGGCGTCGCCAGGATACCGCGCCCGTCCAAGTCACCGACTCGCACTGATATGCCAGCTGGGACGGTCAGCGCCACCGCAGCCGCGTCGGCCGCGCCGCACCAACTGGCCGCTGCGCGCGCGAGCATGCGCGGGCCAGCGCGGCCGCAGAGATGCACCAGCCAACGCCAAGCACTCATCGCAATCGCCGTCGCATGGGTTTTGCGAACGAAGTTGCGGGTGGGTGGGACGATTGCGTGAGCAGTGGAGATGAAAACTCACTGCGAACACTGGCGAGTTGCACCGCATATTTTCTATTAGTGTTAAAAAATAAATAGACTCCACCACCCTCCCGAAGCTGGACTTATTGGTACCCCCTGCTGGGGATGCACAATTTACTTATGATTTTGCCCCATCCTCCAACCTAAATATGAATTCGCACCATCCCCGCAGAGCCGGTACCCCCCCCCCCGCCATTCTCTACAACAAACACGATGCGCGCGCACTCGCTTATCAGAAATCAGCAGTTTTCAAAAATCCGTCGCAAAAAATGAAACGAAGTGAACACACGAGAGTCGTCGCGCGCGCATGTCAAAATCCTTCAAAAAAAAGGGTTTCGCTAGGTTTGAAATCGAGTGTCCAAGAAGCATATACCACCAGAGGGTTTCCCAATACAGATTTTCAAACAAAAAACTTGCGCGCGCCCTTGCAAATTCTTTGTGTTTATAATGTACGTTTTGCAAAATGTTCAGGAAATCTACCAAACGGGTTTCGCGCGCGCATGCCGAAATCGTTCAAACGCCCTTTGCGCGGGTGCCGTCGCGAAATTACGAACAAAAAAAAAACGTTGCGCACGCGCGCGCGTCGTCGCGCGCGCATGCCAAAGTCCTTCAAAAACTGCCGGTGTCGTAACGATTTGAAAACCGAGTGTCCAAGAAAAATATGACATAGGGCTTCGCAACATCAATTTTCAAGAACGCGTGTGCTCGCGCTCATGCAAATTCTTAAGAAAACCCGGGGTTTCTGAATATGTTCATGGAATTCTGCCAAAAAGGGCCCCCGGCTCACACGCCCTTGCGCGCGTACTAGGGGGACACGCTGCGTGTCAAATGAAACCACGGGGGCCACTCTCGCGCGTCGGCCGCGCGTGCATGTCGGATTGATTCCAAAACCTTCATCACCGACGCGAGGACACCGTCATCGTCGCCGTCGTGATCAGCATCGGCGCCCGCACTGGCCGCGCCGTCGTCGTTGTCAACATCGCCACGTTGTCTACCGTTGCCGACGTTGCCATGATACCGCGCCCACCCAAGTCACCGACTCGCACTGGAGTGCCCGCTCGCTGGGACGTGCCTAGCGGTCAACGCCACCGCGGCCGCGTCGGTCGCGCCAAACTAGCTGGCCGCTGCGCGCGCGTCCATGCGCGGGCTAACGCGGCCGCAAAGATACACGAGGCAACACCAAACATTCATCGCGTACGCTTCCGCATGGGTTCTGCAAACCAAGTTGCAAGTGGGTGGGTGCGTGGGTGGGATGATTGCGCGAGCAGTGGGGCCAGCAACTTCAAGTTCGACCAAGTGAATTCTCTTTTTTTTCTTTATATTTTTTTTTTTTTTTTTAAAAAAAAAAAAAAAAAAAAAAAAAAAAAAAAAAAAAAAAAAAAATAAAAAAAAAAAAAAAAAAAAAAAAAAAAAAAAAAAAAAAACTCCCACCCCACCCTGGATTATCGATTATCGACCCCCCTTGTCGTATTGCAGTGTACATGTGATTCTGCCCCATCGTCCATCCTACATATGGCTCGTACCATCCCAGCCGAGCCAGTATCGACCCCCCCCCCGCCATCCTCTGCCAAAAATACGATGCGCGCGCACTCGTTTATCAAAACGAATCAATGTTCAAGAGTCCCTTGCAACGAAGATTGACGACATGCACACTCTCGCGTCGTCGCGCGCGCATGATGGCATCCTTCAGAAACCTTCAGTCTCGTAAGGATTCGAAGTCCGCGTGTCCAAAAATACATACGAAAACCTGAGGCTTCGCAGGACGGATCTACCAAAAAAAAGTGCGCGCCCGCTCCTGCGAATTCTTGAGAAAACCATACGTTGTTCAACACGTTCATGAAATATTACAAAACGAGCTAAGCACGCATGTCGAAATCGTTCGAACGCCCTTGCGCGCGTGCCGTCGCGAGAAACATATATATATATATATATATATATATATATATATGTATATATATATATAAGACAGATGTGTATGTATATATAAAAGACAAAGGGAAGTGCACGCGCGCGCGTCGTCGCGCGCGCGCGTGCCCAAACATCCTGCGAGAACCCTCGGCGTCGTAACGATGTCAAAACCGAGTATCCAGAAACATTTGTTTGATAGAAATGGCTTCACAACGTTTATGCATATATATTGTATGATTTTATGTTGTGCATCTATAGCACATACATATATATATATATATGATATAGATGCGCTCGCGCTCTTGCGGTTTCTTAAGAAAGCCATGGGTTTCTGAACCGGCTCATCCAATTATGCCAAACAGGGCCCCTGGCACCGCATGCCGACATCATTCGCACGCCATTGCGCGCGTGATCCACGCCAAAGAATACCACGCGGGCCACTCTCGCGACTCGGCCGCGCGCGCATGTCGAACTCTTTCCAAAACCTTCATCACAGACGCGAGGACACCGTCATCGTCGTCGGCGCGATCAGCATCGGCGCCCGCACTGGCCGCGCCATCGTCGTTGTCAACATCGCCACCAATATTGCTACCATCATCGTGTCTACCTTTGCCGACGTTGCCATGATACCACGCCAGCCCAAGCCGCCGACTCGCACTGAAGTGCCCGCTGGTATGTGCCCAGCGATCAGCGCCACCGCGGCCGTGTCGGTCGCGCCAAACTAGTTGGCCGCTGCGCGCGCGCGTGCTTGGGTAGGCGCGGCCGTAGAGATGGACCTGCCAACGCCAAGCACTCATCGCAATCGGCACCGCCTGGGTTTGGCAAACCAAGTTGCGGGTGGGTGGGTGGGATGACTGCGCGAGCAGTGAAAATGGTCAAGCGCGACGCAGGGTAGCCAAGTGCACCGTAAATAAATATATATATATATATATATGTACATATATATATAGATACATGTACATATATCACAAATTTCACCACATAATTTGCTAGAAACACACTGGGCGGGGCCCACGCTGGCAAGCATATACATATATATATATATATATATATATATATGTATGTATATGTGGAATATCGACAATATATGTATATATATGCGTGTATGCGCCACGAGGGCCTATGAACACCAAAGCGGCACGAGGGCCAACACAGGTCTGGAGGGCACCGTCGCCGCGATCTGCTAGCACAACAGTACCCCTGCGCGGGCCACATTATGCCTGCGAGCGCCCCGGCGGTGCGCGAGCACCACAGCATGTAAAGCGCTTTGCCAACACAATATCCAACGAACGACACAACATGCCCGCGAGCTTGATGAAAGGGGGGGGATCGTGACTGCTACCTGGGGCAAAAAAGAAGCAGGAAGGGTAATGGCCGTTACCCTTCTTCTCAAGGAGGAAGCAGCCACCATCAATCGAACACCGAACACACCGAACCCACCCTCATCAACCATCAAACGCACCGAACCCACCCCCCTCGATCACCGAACACCGAACACACCGAACACACCGAACCCACCCTCAATCGAACACCGAACGCACCGAAGATCATGGCCTCGCACCCACCCTCATCAACCATGGCCTGGCACCCACCCTCAATCCTCTCTCACCGAACACGCTCCATCGAACTCTCCGCAGGCGGGTCGCAGGTCGCGGGCGCCCTTGCTCTGGGCAGCTGCAGGCACACGTATCACCGCACGGAGCCTTGCCTTGGAGACGAAGAGCCTGTCCGGCCCCAGTCGCGCTCGGAATTACGAGGGGCGCCCAGGGGAACGAACCCCAAGCCCCTTCCGAAGTCAAAGCGAGTTTTGATCCAACGTACAGAATGCGTTCGCCGTCCCAGGCTACCCGTCGTCGACGATCTTCAAGTTCTTGAACCCTGTCTCGAAGCCTCTCAGCGCAAGGTCGGCCCCGTATTCCGTCGCGTACTCTACCAGCATCGACTCTTTCTGGATTGCCTCCCATGCAGGGTCAAAGCAAGGAGCGGCAAGAGCGTGCCAGACTTTTGTCCTCGGGGCGATCACCCCGATCAGAGAGCCATCTTGGGAGGCCCCGTCATAATCCGCCACCATACCTGTGGCACGACGGAGAGTACTAGAGCGAAATGCTCGATTGCAAGGCTTCTGATACTCTCCACTCCCCACCCCCAAGACGGAGCCGTAGCTCGGAAGGCGCCCTTTCTGAGACGTTGCTCCCCGGCGCCCCGCGTGCCTCCAAGACGACCCTAAGACCGCCCTGGCTGCAATACGCACCGACAATAGCAGCAGTGACCTCAAGATAGCCCGAACGACTGCCCCGAGGCCCCATGACGACTCCAAGGGGCCCGAAGAGGCACCAGCAAATCTGCCAAGGGGCATGTAAAACACTGGGCCTGGGCCCGAAACCACCAGCACAGGCTGAAATACAGACAGAGCGGTTGACGCATGCTGCTTCCCGGCTATTGCGTCGAAGGCAAAACGCTCTCGAAAGGCCCCGTCACGGCCCGAGCTGCGCCCAAGAAACGTCCGAGAGGGCCCCCGACGACCGCCTGGACGGGTCGCGCCATCACTCGCGAGCAGGGCAACTGCCGCGAGGACGCCCGCCGTCGTCGTCGTCCTCGTCGCCGTCGCCGTCGTCGTCGTCGTCCTCGTTGTCGTCGTCGTCGTCGGCGTCCGCGTCGTCGTCGTCGACCACGTCGTCGCCGTCGTGGCCGCCGCCGCACGGCGTCGAGGTCTGAGGACGGCCCGAGGAAGCCCCCAGGACCGCCCAAATACGCCTGTGCGGCCCGCCTGTGCGGCCCCAGACAGGATCGTCGTGCCTCCAGGCTGCCCGGGCAAGCGTCCTGACATGCACCTTTTGGGCTGCCCAGGGAAGCATCCTGGCAGGCAGCGGGCTACTCAGGGGGGCGCTCTGGCATGCAGACTCGGGGGCATCAGAGGAGCGCAGCTGCAGGCAACGAGCCCCTGCGGAGAAGCTCACCGGAGGCGCACTGCACAGGAGCGCCCCGAGGGCCGGAGGTGCCCCCGCAGAATCGTGAGTAAGCTGCCTCGGGGGCCCTCGGATCCCCGCGAAGCCTTGGTTGCACCGGACCTCCTCGGAGGGGCGCTCGGGGCGCCCCGCGAGGAGCGCGGCCTCGGCGCGAGGAGAAAGCAGCACGCGCTCGAGCCTGTGGGGAGGAGGGATGGGTAGGGGCAATGAGGTGAGGGCGCTGTGGGCATGGGCGCGGGTCGTCGGGCCCCAAGGCGGGCTCCGCTTCGAGCAGGGACCCCGCCCAAAAAACACACGCCCACGGCCCCCCACGGAGCCCCACCCCCAGAAGCCGAGGGGTCGCACAGGCATGGCTCCCTTCTGGTACCGCCCCAGCGCGGCGCGGTGCACAAGTGAATCGGTCCGGGGGGGCCGAAAACGATACACCGTGCCGTTCGGGGGTCGAGGATCGACGACGCCTCGGGAGACGCCGACGTGGCAGGCCGCCCGTGGATCGCGGACCACACGTGCAGCGGAGTGTGCGCGTGTGTTCGCCTGCTCCAGCAGCTCCCGCAGCTCGGCCAGGCCAGCGCCACCGGTCAGTAGCGGTTCGCCCGGGTGCCTGCGGGGTCGCCTCCGCTCCTAGGCAGTGCGGTGTCTGTGCCTCGCGGCTCGAGCCGACCTCGGAGACGGAACGAGCGTGGTGAGCATCCTTCGAGTCCTGAGCCTGGAGCTGCCCCGCGCGGACGCAGAAGCGCTCATGCTCCTTGCCCTTGCGGTGGCCCCATGGCAATTTCGGCACAACCTCAGCGTCCACCTCCAGTGCTGAAGTGCGGGACTGCCGGCCTGATGTACTAAGATGTTGGGCCCGCCGTCACACGGCACGACGAACCCGTAGCCCTTCGTGACAAAGGACTCGTTCAGGTGGCCCTTCCTGTGAGTGCACAGGCTGGCCGAGGAAGGTCTTGAGCGCCGTCTCCAGTGGGGTTGTTGTGGGAGCCTCCGATGTAGGAGCTTCAGTCAGCCAGCTGCGCATGCTTTACATGCTCATCGATGGAAAATTCTTCGATGCATCCACCCAGACCTTCGCCACCACGGTGTGGTTCACGCGCACCATGCTTGGCAAGACATTCACTCAAGCCGACGGCGCCTTCAACGTCCTCGGTGGGATCCAGGGCCGACCAACTTGAGCAGCTTCACTTTGCCCCTACCTTCTGCTTCGCTTCGTGGCTCTGCTCCGCCTTCTGGGTGAGCCCGCGGTGCTGGCTGGCCTCGTCGACGTGGCCCCTCGCCAGCCCCAGCCTGCGGGCAGGGCAGCTGTGGATGCCGCGTGGCGACGTCGGCGGGGTCCTCACTCCCAGGGCTGCCGCGGGGGATCTGCACCGTGGGCAGCCCTGGCCCCGAAGGCCCGCGAAGAGCTCCCAGAGCCGCGTGCCAGGCGACTCACTGGAGCAGGCAGGAAGGCGCGCACACTGGGAAGCCTCCATGGCCCCCGCGAGCTGTGCCCCCTCTCGGGTGACCTCGCGGGTGGCTCGCCCCTGAAGCCAAGGGGGGGCCGAGGAAGGGGGGCGGAGGAGGTCGAGAGGTCGAGGGGGCGCGGGGGGCCTAACTGCCTCGCTGCGTTCTGGGTCCCGCAGGCCTCTGCGCCGACGCGGCTGGTGTGGCTCGCGTTGTCCCAGCTCAGCAAGTAGGGTCCGTCCTCGAGTTGGCATCCACGGAGCGGGTCCTGAAGGAAACGGGCCCTGGGCACCAGGACCCTCCCCACGGAACAGCCTTTCCTCCAGAGACGTTCCGTGGCGGCCCCGGGTGCCTGAAAGGGCCCCGGGCGCCCGCAACTCGGCGAGAGACCTCCGGGACGCCTTTCCCTTCAGGACCCCTCTCCTGCATGCCGATGGATTTAGACGCCCGAAATGGGTACGGAAAAAATGGGCACAATGCCCAACAACAGATGTTGTCCCAAACCAGCAGCGGCCGCTGTTGGGCAGGCGGCCATCTGTCTCAAATGGACACAGGCCGCGGCGGCACCTTCAGCAATTCCTTTTCAAAACGAACAGGAACTGCTGTCGGTCTTTGTGCCCCAAACCAGCCTCGAACTTGTCCCTATCCCTAAGATGGGCGAGCAAAAAGCGAGGACAATCTTCGGGATAGGGCCTCAGACTCTGAGGGAACCCTTAAGATCGGCACCGAGGTGAGGCCATGTCTGGTCAGCCCATTCTCTCCGTGCCCATGTCGGTCGCTGCCCACTCCTCCGGCCTGCTCCCCTGCACACATCCGCCCACGGTGTCGCACCGCGGGGCGTGCCCGTGGGCCGGGCAGGGCGCCTCGCCCGAGGGCACCCCGCAGCGAGCCGCCGTGAGGCAATGGAGCACGGAGCGGCCACCAGAACGGAAGGCTGGTCGCTTTCAAGATGCGGCCCCTCGCCCAGGCATGCCATGCAACGAAGTGTTCTTAGAACCCAAAAATGCTCTAAGAACAAAAACAATGTTCTCAGACCATGAGCCCGATGAGTTTCAAAACAAAGCAATATCAACCCGAAACGTTCTAAGAACATGTCCTGGAAACCGCAAAAGGCTCTTAGAACATTGCTTGGTAGGGCTATAGGCGAGCCAAGACGCTTCGCCACTGCTTGACATGGAGGACCGGTTGTCTTCTCAAAATGCACGGGTCGCAAAAACTTCCGAGGGCTGCGAACTGTCACTCCTCGTTGCACCAGCCTTGCAGACGTGCTGCAGCGGATGTCTGCGTGGATTCTGCCCCAAACGGCGCGTGAAAAACGAAGTGAATTTCGCGTGGATTCTTTCCTGTCTTCATTCCTGACCAAAAAAAACCGCACGAAATTCACCTCGAAATCCGGGACGAAATTATCCAGGACACTCCGAGCGCACCCTATCGTTTTCCGAACGAGATCCGCTCTGCGATGTGGGCGCCATGAAACTTTCACTCCTGCTAGAACACTCGTCAAAGTCTTTGGCCGACAACTCACACTGTGCACCAGCTACACGGATGGCGGATCATGTCCAGTATGGGGCTCTCGCTTGAGGCTCCTCAAAGCCAAAGATCTCAGTGTGTGCGTCACTGACACGGGTGGAGAGCACAGCCGTGTAAAAATGGGGCTATCGCTGGGCGCGTCCTATCTATATGTGCGTTTTCTTTCACTAAGAGCGTTCTCGCCTAAGTTGCAGGCCCACCAAACGCTCGTTCTCGAACGGAATATCTGCAGGAGCTTAGGCGGAGTGGACGTGTGACGGGACGGTGCATAGAAGCATCCTTGATGCATCTTGAGTTTGCTATGGTCCGGCTTCTTCTGCCTCGCCCCTCGCCCCCACTCTGGCCATCGCTCGGACGTCCATTCCCTGTGTTTTTTTGATTTCGTGCGTGGCTTTTTCGCCAAATGATCAAGGATGCTCCTCGATGGTCCTCGCCGACGGAAAAATGCACACGTCCGAGCGACGCCAAGCACTTCCTGCCACCCAGGCGGCGCTGGCTAGGTCCTGCCCCTTCTTCCTCCTCCTCCTCCTCCTCCTCCTCCTCCTCCTCCTCCTCCTCCTCCTCCTTGGCCTCCTCCTCCTGCCCCGCAGGCCGCGCAAGCTGGGAACCTGCCCCCTCCCAGGCCTCCAACCACTCGATATGCTCCAGTCTCGGGGCCCCGGACCTGTCGACTCTCGCCCTTACAGGGCAGGTTTGAATACATGGGATTTTTAAAAATAGGATTTTTAATACATGATTAATCGATGCATTAATTTATGCACGAACTCATCGTTGTTTCTAATACTAAGCCCCTGCACTTTTCATACATGATCCGCACGCGGAGCATGTATTGAAAACGGCACTGTACTCTGGCACCAGATCCTCGTCCTGCGTCGTTATTTCGATGCCGACGGGGTCTGGAACGGGCCTCCCGGACGCCGAGAAGTCTGACAAAAAATCAAACCCGAGATTTCCGAATCTCTAGGGGTAGGTGTCCTCCTCCTCCTTCTCCTCCTCCTCCTCCTTCCCCTCCTTCTCCCCCTCCTCCTTCTCCTCCTCCTCCTCCTCCTTCTCCTCCTCCTCCTCCTCCTCCTCCTCCTCCTCCCACTTGGCCACCTCCCCCTGCTCTCCAAGCAAGGTCGGCATCGCCCACCTCTGCCTCCTCCGCCCGCGGTCCTTGTGCAGCACCTCTTGGACCGTAGCCCAATTCCACTTGTTTCGGTCCTGGGGGGTGCAGAGAGAACGGGGGGGATCGAGGAGCAGGAAGCGCGGAAGGACGAGTAGGCGGAGGAGGAGGAGGAGGAGGAGGACAGGAGGAGAACGGCAACGACGAGAACGAGGACAGGACAGGGGGGAAAGCAGCGAACAGGAGACCAGAGGAGGAGGAGGAGGGGGAGAAAGAGGAGTGGGAGGAGGAGACAGAAGAAGAACAGGAGGATGAGAAGGAAGAGAAGGAAGGGGAGAGAAGAGAACGGAGGACACGCACACGGCTGGATGAAGTCGAGGATGAGCCCGACGTGGCCTTAACCGCGACGGCTGCAGGAATCGAGCCTCCGCTGCTGCTCTGACACCGGCGCGCTCTTCTCGCAAGAGCCAGGCCAAGGGACTGCGGGCACCCGGAGCACGAGCAAGATGCTCCTGGTGCCCTCGGGGTGTCAGCCCGTCTCGGCCCTTGCCATCTGGGTGGCTGCCCCCTGGTGGGCAGTGTGGCGTCCGCAAAAACCTGGACATCCCTCTGCTGCCACACTCTGCATCAAAACCACAACGGTGGCGCACCAGGAAAATGGTGGATGATCACGAACCGTATAGTCGGCCACATCGCCTCTTGTTTTGAGATATGAGATATCTCGATATACATACATACATACATACATACATACATACATACATACATACATACATACATACATACATACATACATACATACATACATACATACATACATACATACATACATACACACATACATACATACATACAAGATCTTGAGGCTCGCTGCGCTTCGCCTTCTAATATTGGCCCTTGCATCTGAAAGGATCAACGAAAAGGGGAGACGGGGGGGACCTGAATTGTCGCCGCATGTTTTTTCAGCATTGGCTTCTCAGGTGGTCTCGAGAGGCCTCGCAGAGTCTCGTAAAGAGCCCTCCGAGGGCCCCAAGCAGGCTTTAAGAGAGCTCCAAGAGGGCCCCAATTTTGGCCCAAGAGGACCCGAAGAGAGGCCCAAGATGGCTCCAAGAGATGTCCTGGAACGTCTCACAAAAACACCTGAAGTCGCCTGGGCATCGTTTCTGGATGGGCTGGCTCGTGGGGATACGCGACGCGTCAAGACTTGCAATGAGGAAAGAAGAGAAACGGGCTGGGCCACTTCGCGCGCTGCACCTCGGGACTCCGAAATGCGAGGATTTCTGAAACGGTGCCGCCCAGGCCCATCGGAGCAGGGCCTTCGGCCCCTGGCCCGTTTTTTTCTCGTGGTCGTTTTTGTTGCTCTTCCCCCCCCATCCTTTCTCCCACTTCTCCTCGTCCTCCTCCTCCTTCTTCCCCACCTCCTGCCTCTCGCGGCGCTGGCGTCGACCAGGCCCGTCGCAGGAGGGCATTCGGGCCCGCGCCAGCAGCGGCGGCGTCAAAGGGGGGAGGACGGCCACGACCACGACTGCGACGACGACGACGACGTCGACGATTTCGAGTGCGACGGCGACGGCGACGACGACGATAACGACGACGACGACGACGACGACGACGACGGCGGCTTAACAGGTTGCAGCAATTACACGGATGGAGGGCCTGCGGTCTATCCCGTACCCGTGCCTGGGTTGTGTGTTAAAGCGTCTTACGTGTTCTTTGGGATCTCGTGATACGCCCTTTAAGGGTTGTGTTAGGGCCTCTTGGGGTATTTGGGGGGCCTCTTGGAGGCCTCCTGGGGCCTCCTTGGGGCCTCTTGGGGGCCGCTGGAGGCCTCTTGGTGCCTTCGTGGCGCCTCCTGGGGCCCTGTCGGGATGGAACGCTGGATGTTTGAAGTGTTGGTCGCCCTGTTGAGCCCTTTTGGGGGCCTTCTCGGAGCCGCCTGAGGCTCTGCTGGGCAACTCTTGGGCCTTCTTGGGGCCGTCTTGGGGGCCTTTGGCGCCGTCTTGGGGCGCTCTTGGGGGCTTCATGGGCGTCGTGGAGCGTCGGAAAGCCGAAAAGGCGAGAAGGCAACAAAACATCGAAAATCACAATGGAAAAGCAACGAGTTTCGCTTCTCGGGGCCCTGAAGGGAGGGTCTTGGGGGCCTCTTCGGCCTGTCGATGGCGTGATGGAAGGTCATTGACTTTTTAGGCAGCGGTAAAATCGGTCTGAGGTCGTCGCGACGCTTCCATGGGTGCCTCTGGAGCCGCCGCGAGGTTGTCATAGGTGCCTTCTGGATGCTTTTGGGGGCTTTCTGGGAGGCGGCGGGGCTACTTGTACGGGGGGGTGCCGGCCCCGTGGGTTTTTCCTTGTAATTTCATAGGCAGAAGGCACCTATATAAATATATATATATATATATATATATACATACATACATACATACATACATACATACATACAGACAGACAGACAGACAGACAGACAGACAGACAGACAGACAGACAGACAGACATGCATACATACATATATGTATACATACACATATGTATATATGTAGATATGTGTGTAAATGCGTGTGCGACGATGTTAGAAAGAAGAGCGGTGGCCAGGACAGCGCTTGGGCTGGATGGCGTCCGACCGCTCAAGAGATCTAGACTGGGCGCGGCAAGCCGAATATCTCCAACACACGCTGACCACCCCAACCGCGCGACCCCTGCGGGGCCGCACGGGAGACTCGAGCGGCTGCTGGGGAGGAGGCGCAGGAGGGTCAGGGCCCGAGGGAGAAGCGGAGGGCCCCCCCCCCCGAGGCCTGGGCCGCGGCGGCACCGGACGGCGGCGAAAAAAGCGCTTCTCCATGGGCGGACAGTGTCTCGCTCTGGCGCGGGGCGATGGCCAGCCGCTCTCCAAGGGGCCTGCGCCGTATACTCGTGTGTATATATAGGGGTAGGGATGACTGTGAAGCGCTTACTCGTCGAGCTCGATCGGAGGCCGCTGCTGCCACAGCGAGTGTGCCAGCGGAGAGCCGAGCACACCCCCTGAAGTGCAAGGGCGACTGCTCTCGAGTATCACGGGAAAGCGCACCGCAGACCCAGACCAGCTCATGAGGCACACCTCGAGGAGGCAAGATCAGGGATAGCAAGGAGGGAGGAAGGGGGGAGGGGCTGGGCGAAGGATACCCTCAAGTTTCTCGAGGGCTCCGGCGGCCATGTGAGCGGCAAACATGCCCACATGCTCACGGGAGCGGGACAAACGCTAGAGAGGTCCATGGAGGAGGAGGTGAAGGAGGAGGAGTGGGAGGAGGAGGAGGATGAGACGCGCGCAGTGGTCAGGCGGGTCCAATGGCCATGAAGGAGGCGGAGGAGGAGGAGGAAGAGCAGCAGCAGCAGCAGAAAATCGCGGAGGAGTCGGAGGAGGCAGAGGACCAGGGAGGAGGAGGCTGCAAGAAGAGAGGGGGGGAGGGCGCAGTGGGGAGGGGAAAGAGAGAGAGAGAGAGAAGAAGGGGGGAAGCCAATCTGGCTGCGTTCGCGCCACATCTGACCTCCTGTTCCTCCGTCCAATCTCTTCCCGCTGCGCTGGCTTGTTCTGTATCCGCGGGCGCGCGGGCGGGGGAGGAGGCCACGAGAGGGGAGGGAGGAGGCGGAGGAGGGCGAGGGAGGAGAGCGGCGACGGAGAGGAGGCGTCCAGTGGCCGAGCGGGGCGGGAGGGCCAGCCGCCCGGGGGGGGGGGGGGGCCCGGAGAGGGAAGGGCAGGGTGCGGTGGCAGCTGTGCCCTTGGCATCCCCGTGCGACCATGGGGTGTCTGCCCCGTGCCACTCTCTGGAGCGTGGTCGACTGCCGAGCGGTGTCTGGGTAGCAGTTCAGCAGTTCTTCCAACAAAAGGCGAAGACCTCATCTGGACGAATCCTGAGCCACCCTGGCGGTTCCCGAAGAGTCTGGAGGGACCCTGAGGCAGCCTGAAGAGAGTACTTGGCGAACCTGGACATTCCTGACGCACCTGAGCACACGTGGACATCACTAACTGTAACCCTGCTGCGAGCCCGTAGAAACATGAATGGGGTTGCGAACGGTTCTCAGTTCAATGGTTCGTCAACTCCGAGCCCCCCTCACTCATCACGCAACCTGTCAAGTCTGCGACCACGCCATGGCGGCGAGCTCCCGTCAGGGATATCGGCTGCAATTCTTTAAGCAAGCGCCCAACAGGATCATACAGTAGGAGGTCGACCACAAGAACCCTTCCACTAAAAAACCTAACCCTGTGACCCCAGGACGCTTCCCATAGCAAAACCATCGAAACCCAAGAAACCCAGGGCACCCTAGAGGCAAGCAGGGTGCTTCTCGGCATGGGCTTGCACTGTAGGGTTTTGTACTAGTGCGGACAGCACACCGAAGTGCGCCATGGTGGCACTGGCCAGCCTTAGCCAGCAGCACTGCTTGGCGCGTAGCTCACTACGGCTGCCACGGAACCCCCCGCGACGCGGTGGCCTTGTCCGAGAGACCGCATGGCGCGGCGGGAGGGGGGCAAGAGGAGGAGCAGCAACCAAGAAGGACAGAGATGGTGAGGAGGAGGAGGTGGACGAGGGCTGGAACGAAGATGACGAGGAGAGTGATGGGCCAATTCTCCACCACTACTACCATAGGTAGGACGGTGACGGTGGAGAAGGGAGGATAGGGAGGTTTCCCTCATCCTCCTCCTCCTCCTCCCTCTCCTACGTATGGTGGTGTGGAAAATCGGCCCATCAGAGAGTCCTTCTCGTCCCATTCGCCATCGGCATCGCTGTCCTTGGCCTTCACGCGATCGCCCTCCTGTGGAAGGCCCATCCGGCTAAATCGATACCTCTGGATCGTGCTCCCAGCCTCCCGTAGACAATACATGAGAGCACGCAGACTTGCAAGCAGTCGTCGCTTCACGGAGGAAGAGGAGCAATGGAGGCCCATGAAAAAGGCGGATGTGGAGGGAAGGGGAGATGGTATATACGTACACGTGCAGCCATACATGCGCGCAAGCACATACGCACGCAGACACGTGCACACGTATACAACGCGTAGCCCTGGGTTTGCGCTCAACTGGAGGAATCAGGACTGTAGCGCAGGGAGTGGACCGACATTCGAGCTGGAGAACGTTAAAAGACGACCCAAACTTCAGATCACGCTCCTTGATGACCTCCGTCTTAAGATGCTTCAGTTTCGAACTCGCGGTCTTGCTGTCTGGGTCCTGCGACCCGTCAGGCATCGGCAGCCCCTTCGCCTTGATGAGAAGGAGCACGTGCTTCTTGGTCAGGCCGTTGACGCCAGATATGTGGATGGCTGACTTTTCGACCACGATCGGCTCATTGTCTTCTTCCTGGCATTCTTGCTCCGGGTCTTCTCTCTTCGCCTCCCCCAGGGAGGCACAAGCCAGAGGGAGAACAGCAAGGTGGTCCGCAATCACACGCCGTGCTCTGAGGAGCGAGAACTGGCCATCGCTCGGACGTCCATGCCCTGTGCCTTTTTCGGTTCCGTGCGTGGTTTTTTCGCCAAGTGATCAAGGATGCTCCTCGATGGTCCCCACCGAAAGAAAAATGCACAGGTCCGGGCGATGCCAAGAGAAAGGACAGCGGAACCCTCCGCTTGGGTGGCCCGATCAACCCGTGGAACAGGGTCCTCCACTCCAAGTTGGAGGCCGCCAGGGGGTCTGAACTGGTCGGGACCCCTTTTCTTTCCCGGGGCATGGAAGGCGCAAGTATGACGGATGAGACAACGAAAAAAGCACTAACTAGTGCGAGCTCGGTAGGCTGTCGCCTTTTTTGAACCAGTTTCGGCCCATAGACCGGGCGTGGACAAGGAGGGCACGGTCACGAGCTTCTGCTCGCAGCCGTTCTGCTAGTGGCAGCTTTCTGAGGTCGGGACCCCAGAAAATCGGCCAGGAGGGGGACAAAGCCAAATCCGCTCAGAATCGGTCCCTGGACCCCTCCCAAGGTCCGTCCACTGCAGCATCTCGCCCCAGATCTGTTTCTGATAGCCCCGGGGTCCGAAAACGGCTCGCGGGGGCCGAAGAATCAAAAAGCTTCCCGAACCCAGAACCTCGAAACTGACCGCCCTTCCCGCTGGCTGGAACCAGTGCTGGGCCACCTCGGACCCCGAAACGGCTCCAAACCCCAGGAATTTCCCCGGCCCCTGGATTGGAAGGTTCTCCAGCCTGCCTGGGCCTTCGCCCGGGGCAGGCATCGCTGTTGACCGCTACAGGTCGCTCCACCTCGTCAATCCCAAAGCCACAATGAGGCATGAATGCCAGGCTGCTCCACGAGCAGAGAAAAAAAAACAGTTAGAAGTGTCCGACTGGCTCCTGGTGCCGCTGGGGGGGAGGAGAGGCTGGGTGTCCCTATGCTGCTCCCATCGTACTCAAGGACCAGATCTCAGAAATAATCTCGAGCACCCAGACAAGTATCGAAACAGTGTCGAACGAGTATCGCTTCCCAGGGCCCGACACGTGAAAACCCAAAGTTTCGGCATTTTCTTGGTACTCGGAATTATTTCTGGCGGTCAAAGCTAAAGTAGGCTGGAGCATCATGAAGGTGTCCCCCTCCTCCAGCAAAGCCGCCGCCACATGCGATAGCGGGTCATCGGGGGGCGGCGGAACAGGCTTCACCTCCTGGACGTGGCGAGGGGCTGGGGCTGACGACGGGGCATCACCTGAAGAGGAACCATCGAGCCAAGGACCTTGCTCGACGGTTAGGTATGTCAGGAGGCAACTACTGAGAGGTCTTCGTCGGAAAAACTGAAGAGGATTAAGCTCCATTAGGGGGCTGTTACGCCGGAGTGGGCCTCGGATTCAGCGGGATTAAGCCGGATGAAGCAGGATGAAGCGGGATTACGCCCGAGTAAACGGGATTAAGCCGGATTGAACCGGATTTCGGACCAGGACAAAATCTGAATTTGACGTCCCAGGAGTTGCGTCCGAAGGTATGTAAGCTTCGGGTATACTCCTTCCCAGATCTAAGACCACACGAATGTAAGCTTCGGGTGTACTCCTTCCCAGACCTAAGACCACACGCACGTCGCGCCAGCACTCTGCGGGCGCGGGTGGCACACACTTGAGAGATGATGGGCTCTGCCGTGACAGCTATGAGCTTTGCAGCGCAAGCACACGACCAGGGTCGAGAAGCCAGAGCACAACAGTCCAATGGAATTCTGTTGACGGGCCTCCAGAATGGGGGTCGAGCAGCTTGGACCTTCCCGAACACTTCCCAGGAAGAGGAGGAGGAGGAGGAACTTGGCTACCTCAGGGGCCTCCCCCACCAAATTAGTCTGGCGAAGGACCCAACCACATGCAGTTGTGAATACCGCAGTTCTCAGTATCATCTCTGGTGGAGCTCCCTAAGGGGCCACGACACCTGTGAGGGTATACCGAAATGGGTGGCGCGGACACATGCGAGCGGTGCCACTGGGGCGTAGGGTGGAGCTCCCTATGGAGCCACGAAGCACGTAAGGGGTTGTTAGTATCGGTGTGCCGACATGGGCGGGGGGGCCGCATGCGAACGGTGCCACTAGGGCTTACGGTGGGGCTACCTATGTGGCCACGAAACGCGCGAAAAGTGTGCCGAACTGGGTGGCGCGGGCGCATGCGCCCCCCAGAAGCCCCAGGAGGTCCCAAGAAGCTCTCAAGTGGCCCCCGAGAGGTCCACAAGACAGCCCAAGACCGCCTCAACGAGGCTTCCGAAAGGCTACCCAAGATCCCCACAGGCATCCTAAAAGCCGCGAACCTTCAACCCAAACACGGTGGGAGATGGACCGAAGGCCACCAGTGCAAAATGCGGTGTAAGCTATGAGATGTAGGAAACGTGGTATACGTGACCTGTATGGTGTAAGCTACGTGGTGAGTGCTGCGTGGCAAGCTATGTGGTGAAAGCACAGGAATCGACCTCGGGGTCGAATCCATGAGAGCAAATATTCCTCAAGAACTTGCGACAGCGATGGACGGGATCACAACTCCAGGTCGGTGAGCCTACTGTCGCACAAGGCAACCATTGCTGCGCAAACGCCTTCCTTATGCAAAGCACACAACTCGCATGTCGGATTTCGCCTAGGCCGTGCCAACTAGAGCCATATTTCATTGCGGATACGGCCACTGAGCCCCTGAATGGGGAAGCCAAAAGGTACCGATCCCGCTGCTCCCCGGACCTTTCCCAGGGTGCGTTCTGACCAGGATTTCGAGGCGAATCCAGCGGTGAGGACGAGAGCCTTCCAAGGGGCTCCAAAAAGGGGAAGCACGGGCGAAAGGTAGCGGTACGGGTACTCTTCCCCCCTCTGAAACCAGAGCCATGTCTTATTGCGGAGAAGACCACCTAGCCCCTGAGGTTATCTTCAAAATGTGCGAGCTCCGCAGCTCAAACTGTCTCCTAGATGGGGTCCGAGTAGATGGAGTCGGAGGATCGCGCCGCATCACCGACGATGCGTCGGCCATGCGGCTCGATGGGGACCCCGACTTTCTCCTAGCCGGCGTCGCCGATACGTCGCAAAGGTCGCCGCTGCATCGACGATGCATTGGCGATGCATCGGCGATGCGGCGCGATCCTTCGACCCCACCTACTCGGGCCCCATTCGGCGGTGGACAAACCTCCCTTTAGTAGACCTCCCCTCAGTGAAGATGGCCTGGGGCCGAAGCCGACGGACCTGGACCCGCAGAATTGACGGCCGCGACGCCCTCTCGCGAACCGAAAACTGCCAATTCCTGAATCGACGTGTCAGGGTAGGAGGTCTGTCCACCCCCGACCCATCTTCGGAGGCCTGGAAATCGGCACCAACACCAACACAGGGGCTTGCCTCCGCAGGGGGACGATGATCCCAGAGTTCGGTGTCGGTGGCAATATTTCGGCCACCTTGGAAGCCAGAATACTACCACCATCGCTGAGATCGGGATCTTCTGCCATCGTTAGAGGCACACCGCGGATATCGGTGTTGGTGTCAACCTCCAGGCCTGCGACATCTGGCAGGCTCAGAGCTGTGCGGCCTTGATCGACGCGTCAGGGTAGGAGGTCTGTCCACCCCCGACCCCCCTTTGGTAAAACGTGGCTTGGTGAAACGTGGCTCAGTGAAAAAACGACCTGAGGCCCAAACCTGGCGGGCGCAAGCCTGGAAAATGACGGCCACGGCGCCCTCTCGACGTGTCACTGTTGGGGGCTCTGTCCACCCCCGAGCCACCTGGCAGGCTCGGAGCCGTGCGGCCGCCCACAGGGGGCGCCCACGAGGGGCGCCCACACGGTCGGCCACGGGCGGGCCCCGAGGAGGGGGGGCGCCGGCGGGGACCCGCCTCCGGCAGACGGAGGGGCGCCTGCTGCCCGCGGGGCGCGTCCCGAGAGGTTCCCCGTTGTTGGCCGTTGTCCCTCGGGCGTTTGCATGCTTTTCGGGCTTCCCCCCCCCCCCCCGTTTTTGGCCGTGTTCTTCCCTCGGGTTCTTGCTGCATGCTGTTCGGGTGTCCTTCCCCGTCTGTTTGGCCGCTTTCCCCATCGGGTGTTTGCATGCTTTTCGGGTGTCCTTCCCCGCTTTGGGGCCGTTTTCCCTAGGGTGTTTGCATGCTTTTCGGGTGTCCTTCCCCGCTTTGGGGCCGTTCTCCCTCGGGTATGTGCATGCTTTTCGGGTGTCCTTCCCCTTTTGGCAGTTTTCCCTCGGATTTTTGCATGTTTTTCGGGTTTCCCCCCCGCGTTTTTGCATGCCCGCCGCACGGCCACCAACCGTAGGGGCTCTGCCGACCCGGGCCAGTCCAGACCCGGGTCAGCCAGGCTTTGCAGGATCCTGCAGAGTGCCGCAGGATCCTGCAAGGCCCTGCGCCCAGGCCCGGGGCAGCGCGGCCCTGGCTCTGCAGGATCCTGCAAGAGCCTGCGCTCTAGCTGACCCCCGTTTGCGCCAGGTCGGGCATGTCCCCCTACAAGCGGATCTTGGGCGAAAAAAATAAAAATTCACACACACACACACACACACACACATACACACGTAACATAAAAAAACAGCAACAACAACAACAACAACAACAACAACAACAACAACAACAACAACAACAACAACAACGACAACAACGACAACAACATCAACAACCACAACAACAACAACAACAACAACAACAACAACAACATACCAACACCAACAACAACAACCACAACAACAACAACAACAGCAACAGCAGCAGCAGCAACAACAACAACCATAACAGCAACAGCAACAGCAACAGCAGCAACAGCAGCAACAACAACAGCAACAGCAACAGCAACTGCAGCAACAACAACAACAACGACAACGACAACGACAACAGCAACAGCAACAGCAGCAGCTACAACAACAGCAACAACAGCAACAGCAACAGCAACAACAACAGCAACAACAACAGCATCAACAACAGCAACA